GTTGCCTTCTTGTACTCCTTGTCCAGGGTCATTGCTGGCTGTGCTCCAAGATGGCAACACTGCCATGTTAGTTGATAGGGGACCTCCACTCTGTATCTCTCCTAATTCTCTGTTTTCCTTCAGTTTCTTCTTCCATTCAGTGTTTGATGTAGTTCTTTATCCCTTCATTTGATGCTTAGGGTTCCAGGATTGATGTCTGCATCTGTTTTACTTAGTTTTTCGGGTCTTTGCTGCAGAGGGACAGCATGATGCATCTGTCTAGGGTGCTATGTTGGCTATGCCTTTCTGGAAATAGGGTTTTTAATGGTCATATATAGAGATTCTGTTGGTAAGGAAGAAGGGGACAGTGATATTGGATTGTCAGCTAGCAGTATCTGTCACAATTGCCACTATTTAAAATTTGAGAGATTTCACATATGCATTTGGGTTTCTAGTTATGCTTAGGGAAAAAAAGGGAGGGGGAGATTGGGCTACACTGAACCTGCATTTCTGCATAGTAGCAATTGAGCAGAGCTGAACATCAGCTTCATCTGTGAATGAAGCCTGTACTTCCTATTCCCCACACTCTTTACCACCACTGAGTGCATTCTTCCACACAGCTGGGATCACGTGGTTACTCACCTAGGCCTTGTTGGCATTTTGATTAATCTTCCATGTTTTCCAAAGCATCAAATTCGGTTTGAAAGTTTATTTGTGACTTGCAAAAACATAGTTTCAGTAGAGTCATTTAATTTTTAGGTGTGTTATAGATTGAATTGGGTTCCCCCAAAATATGTGTTAGCATCCTACCCCCACACCTGTGGCTGTAATGTAATCACATTCCATAATGCAATCTAATGTAGTGTAATCAATTAGTTGAGGTCATGCAGCATAGACAGACATGCATGCATGCACACACAGGAGAAGACACTATATGACAATGAAGAAGACAGATGAATCTACAAGCCCAGGGACTCCAACAATTGCCAGCTACTAGGAGCTCTAGTAGCTGAAATAGACAAAGAAGTACCTCCCCCTAGAGCCACACCCTGGATCCAAACCTCTCTGTGCCTAAACTGTGAGAAAATAAAATTTCTGTTTTTTAAATACTTGTGGTATTTCTGTTACAGTAACACTAGGAAACAAAGACAAGTTATTTTTGCCTAATCTTGCCACCTATTTTATTTCTTTTAGGGTAATAGTATATTTATGAAATAAGTTTCTATTGCTATAAGAAACACCCAAATATAACAATGCTTTCAATAAGACAATATATTTTTTTCTGACATGTAACAGTCCATATGTAAACAGGCCAGGACTGATCTGGTGGGTCCAGCTATTTTGTCGCTCTAGCATTCTCACCACACAGTTTCCTACCTCAGCTCCAAGATATCAGCTACAGCTCCACCAATCACTTCTACATTCAGTCAGTTGGAAAGGAGAAAAATATCAAGAGGCAACATTCATTGAAGAGCAAATATTACTTCTGCTAAATGATTATTAGCCAGAACGCAGACACACTGCCACACCTAGCTGCAAAGAAGTCTTGAAAATCTAGTCATCAGCTGGGTGGCCATGTGCCCAGCTAAAACTCAGTGGTTTTAATATGATAACTGTCTTAAGCTGGGTTCTCTAGAGAAGCAAAACCAGTAAAGCGTATAAATAGATATAGAGAGAGACTTATATCAAGGAAACAGCTCATGCAATTGTAGAGGCTAGAACATCCCAAGTCTGTGGATCAGGGTACAGGCCTCTCCCAATTCATGCAACTGCAGAAGGTGGCGAGCCCAAGATCGGCAGGTCAGAGAGCAGGGCGCCCACTCAAAGGCTGTGAAGGTCGACAAATTCCAAGATTGGCAGGCAAGACTGCAAGGTTTCTCCTGATTCACATAGCTGCAGGGGCTGGTGAACTCAATATCGGCAGGTCAGAGAGGAGGACTCCACTCACACGCTGCAAAGATCCACAAACCCCAAGTTCAGCAGATAAGCTGACAGCTCAAGTCCCAAGAACTGGAGATGAGACGACAGGAGGCAGCCGCGGGATCCAGAGTGAGTGAAAAGCTAGAACGTCTGCTTACATTCAGGTGCAGGCCACACCCCCAAGGAAACTCCCTTTCATCTGATTGGCTACTCACAGCCTATTCAATCATGGAAGTGATCACATATAAACACTGGGAATCATGGCCCAGCCAAGCTGACACACAATCTTAACCATCACAATAACTAAGGAAAAATGAACAATCTGACATTAGCAGGAGTTGGGGGTCCCTAGCGTAGGAACTTTTCATTCATTTATTTGTACTCCCATCTAATTCTAAAAGGAATTACATTAGATTACGAAATTAGACAGAGAAGCAAACCAATTATGGACACCCCCACAACACAGGTTTTTGTTACAAGCAGTATTCTTAACTTTTTAAGCTCGTGTTCCACCTGTCAATAAGTGTATCTTGAACTTTACTACAATGATAGAGTGTTGTGGTTTTTATGGGACACTCTTTTGAGCCACTGAAGCATGGTCATGGATTGAAGGAATCAATATAACAATGTCAATTTTCCCTAGTTAATCTATAGATTTAATGCAATTTGCTAACAAAATCTCACCAGGGTTTTTTTTGTTTTTGTTTTTGTTTTGTGTGTGTTTGTGTGTGAAATTTGACAATTTGTAAAGTTTACATGGAAGTATAAAAGTTCAATAATAACCAAGATAATTTAAAGAAGAACCACAAGTTGGATTTATAATACTAGATATTAAAACACATTTAACATTAAGGCAATATAGTAGGGCATAATGATAGAAAGGAGTCAAGACACAAATCCCTACATATATGGGCACAACTTGTGATGCAGGTGACCCTGTAAAGCAATAGAAAAGGACAGTTTTTTTCTCTAAATAGTGCTGGGTTAATTACATAGCTATACAAAAATATCTTGATCTCTACTTTATGCCATATAATTCTTGTTGGATTGTAGATCTAAGCGAAAGGTAAAACAATAATGCTTCTAGAAGTAAACATAGGAGGCTGTCTTTATGACTTTGAATCAGGAAAAGATTTCCTAACCAAAAACCAAAAAACCAAACCTGTTGCCATCAAGTTCATTCTGACTCATAGCAACCCTATAGGACATAACTGCTCCACAGGGTTTCCAAGGCTGTACTCTGTACAGAAGCAGACTGCCACATCTTTCTCCTGTGGAGTAGCTGGTTGGGTTCAAACTGCTGAACTTGCAGCTGGTAGCCAAGCATTTAACCTCTGTGCCACCAGAGCTCCTTGATTTCCTAACAAGATCCCAAAATTCACTAACCATAAATGAGAAGATTGACTAATTGGACTACATTAAAATTAGGAACTTCTGCTCATGAAAATAAGCATTCAGCTGCTATATGAAATGTTAGTGGTTTGAACCTACCAGCCACTCCAGCAGGAGAAAGATGTGGTAGCCTGCTTCCATAAAGTTGACTGCTTTGGAAACCCTATGGGGCAGTTCTACTCTGTCCTAAAGGGTTGCCATGCGCCAACTCAATGACAACGGATTTGGTTTGGTTTGGTTTCTTCATCAAAAAAACCTGTATTTGTATTAATGCAAAAGTTTAGTCACCGGCAGGAGAAGATATTTGTAAGGCATATAACATTTAAAAAGATTAATATCCAGAATAATGCCTACAAATAAATAAGAAAAATACAACTCAATAGAAAAACAGGTAAGAGACTTACTTGCATAGGCATTTCACAGGATATCCAAGTGGCTAATAAATATACAAAAGTCTCATTAATCATCACAAAACACAAATTAAAATCACTATGTGATACTAAACCACACCCCTGAGAATTACTAAGGAAAAAAATAACAATATCAAATGTCAGAGAGGACACAGACCAATGGATACGTTCATACACTGCTGGTGGTAGTGAAAAGTGGTACAACCACTTTGGAAAACTATTTGGAAGTAACCACTAAAGTTGAACATAAGCATACCCTATTACCCAGTAAATCTTCTCCTAGTTACATACCGTACATCAATGCATACAAATATATTCTAAAATTCCTGTACAAGAATGCTCATAACAACATCATTATTCAAAATAGCCCCAAACTGGAAACAACACAACTACCCATCATCAGAATGGGTAAAATATGGGGCATTCATAAGATAGGATACCATGTAGAAGAGTTCAGCAAACTCATCCTGTAAAAGGCCATGCAGTAAGTATTTTAGGCTTTGGGTGCCACACGGTCTCTGTCACAACTGCTCACCTCTGCCATTGTAACAGGAAAGCAATCATAGACATTATGTAAACAAATTAGCAAATGACCATGGCTGTGTTTCAATAAAACTTTATTTGCCAACCCTTGCCACATAGCTATGGAAATGAATGAACTACTGCTACGTGCAAGAACATGGATGAATTTCACAAATGAAATGTTGAACAAAAGAAGCCAAACACATACAAAAAAAGGCATTCTAAACAGTGGAGGAGGAGATTGAGAGGGGCATGAGGGAGGCTTCTGGGTTGCTAGTGTTATTCCATGTAACAAGATAGGTGGTAGCTAGGGCATTTGCATTTTGTGGTCATTCATTAAGCTGTACAAATGTGATCTATGTACATCTACACACCAAATCAAACCCTATTGCCATCGAGTCGATTCTGACTCATAGTGACCCTGTAGGACAGAGTAGAACTGCCCCAAGGTGTTTCCAAGGCTGCAGTCTTTACAGAAGCTGACTGTCACATCTTTCTCCTGAGGAGCAGCTGGTGGGTTCGAACTGCCAACCTTTTGGTTAGCAACCACACGCTTAGCCACTGTGCCACCAGGGCTCTTCTAATTTACACACGCATATATATTTTTTAATAAATAATTTTATTAAACAGTAATTATTTGAAAGCACTGAAAGATGACTCAAGGATTACCCTAGAGATGCTTTGCTTTGAAGAAAGCAAAGAAAATTGCCAAATAATATGAAAGAAGGTATTTTTATAATGTATTATGGAGTAACTTTAATTTTACTTTGTGCATAGGGTACTTGGTAAAATTGGGCGGACATTCACTGCTCAGAGTTGAAACTGAAGTTATGCTTGAGGGTAAGTGTTGAATTTAAATGAAGTATTCACACATAGGTCTGAATAAATTCATTATGTGTAGTTCTAGTCACATATAAGTTTTATAATGGTGCCAGGGATGGAAGGAGGGGGGATAGTAGTGGATGGTTGGGTTAGGAGGTAACCAGTAAAAGGACTAGATTAAAGGGCATCTCCTATTCTTTTACCCACTCTCCCTGTTTCATTCTCACCATTTACCCCACTCCTTATTTCAGACCTAGCTATCATCCCAGATCCCTCAGTAAGGACAGAGAGTTGAGGGTTCAGTCACTCAGTCATCCAGTAAATATTTTTCCAGTCTACTATTGGACAGCACTATTCTAGTCTCTGGGGATACAGCAGCAAACAAAACAAAGTTCCTTCCCTCAGGGAATTTACAATTTAGTGGATACCAGAAATAAATAAATAAATAACCAAACCCCGTTGCCTTCCGATCGATTCCGACTCATAGGTTAGTAGCCAAACGCTTAACCACCGCACCACCTGGGCAGTTGACGGGAACCATTAAGTCTGCTTCCATAAAGATTACAGCCTTGGAAACCCTATGGGACAGTTCTACTCTGTCCTATGAGGTTGCTCTGATTCAGAATCGGCTCAATGGGAATGGGTTTTAGTCTTTAAGGAAGATTAGATTTAAGGCTGGTGGAGTCAAACCCCCGATCTATGGATTAGCAACCTAGTGCCTAATTGCGCCGCCAGTGCTCTTTATTTAGTGGATAGCAATGTACATTTGCAGAGGAAGAAATTAGAGAAGCGTAACATTTATTCTATCAAAACATTAGGACCTCAGGCATTTCCCTCTTGGCCTCTATTGCCCTGGTGGTGCAGTGGTTAAGCGGTCAGCTGCTAACCAAAATGTTGGCAGTTAAACCTATCCAGCAACGCTTCAGGAAAGACCAGGTGATCTGCTTCCATAAAGATTACAGCCAAGAAAACCCTATGGCAAAGTTCCACTCAGTCACATGTGGTTGCTATGAGTCAGAATCAACTTAACAGCACCAACAACAATGCAACAACACCTGAGTCCCTAGGTGGTGCAACTGGTAACGTTCACAGCCACTAACCAGAAGGTTAGAGATTCAAGTCCACACAGAGACACCTCGGAAGAAAGACCTAGTGAGCTACTTCTGAAAATCAGCCATTGAAAACCCTGTGGAGCACAGTTCTACCCTGTCACACATGAGGTTGCCATAAGTCAGAGTCTATTTGATGGCAACTTAAAAAAAAAAAAAAAAATGTCCTGCCAGGATCAGAATTACAAACAGCTATGGTAGAAAATAGGATGGCTACCTTCTTTCCTTTTTCATTTGTTCATTCATTCATTCAATAAACACACATTCATTGACTGCCTGCTAGATGCTAGGTACTATAATTCTCCCTTCTTCTTTCTTAGAATCTTTTTCCTCTTTCTCTCCTCCTACTCTTTCTCCTCATGCTTCTTCTCTCTTTTTCTAAATCTCTCCTTTTTTTTTCTCTTTGTTTCTTTTTATTAGGGAAGCAAATAATAATTACCCCTAATCCCACTATCTGGAAATAATGATATTAGCATCCCAGCATATGTATATAATATATATTATCCCTGGTATGTTTAAAGAATATAAGCATACTACGTATTTATTTTTAAAATGAAATTATAACTTTTTTCACTTACTCATATATCATAAATACTTTTCCAGGCCAAGAAATACATTTTTACATTTTAGTAAGTGCATAGCATTTTGTTTTATGAATATTATTAATTTAAACAATCTCCTATTGATTAACTGACCTATTCCAATTTAGACTGATGCCAACTTTTTTCTTTATTATGAGCAATATTGAATCTCCTTGTGAATGTATCTTTTTGCTATCTAGCAGAATGTTCAGCATATAGTAAGCACTCGCTAAATCTTTAGTGAACATTGCCATTTTTCTTTTCATGAAGTCTGTTGGGGATAGAGGATAAAACTTCCTGGATGCTGTTGGTCAAAGTAATGGGATTTGGGGGGAAGGTGGGCTCTGCAAATGGTGTTGGAGCTGTTCAGGGTCAGAGCTTTTGGGGCTGTAAGAGAGCTACTGATGCCTTGAACTAAAGGCTCTTCTACTGTTTCAGCTATTGACCAAGTGCTGAGAGATGAAGACGCTTTGATCAGGGAGTTGGCCAAAATAACCCACAAGATTTTTAAGGAAATAGCCCATGGATCGACCTCCTCAGCTGTTAAACAAGCCTTCCGGAGATTGTTTAACTTCTTCTACTGCAAAAAATTGAAGCTAATGTATCATTATGATGAGACCTATGCCCAGATAGCCAGACTTAAGGAAGCTAAAGATGCAATGAGTGATAAGGAAGGCCTCACTGAAGAGAATTATGAAGACTTTTTGTAGAAGGATGTCAAGTTTGTCGATGCCTTGGAGCAGACTTCAGAAGAGGAATAATTTTTCTTTCCCTCTTGTTAACTCAAGTCTATTTGTAGATGCTTTTCTGAAGGGTGCTAGAAAACTTTACTGCCCCTTCTTAATTCTTTATTCAAATACAGAAATCTGAGAACTCTGTTGCCTATCTATGGTAATGACCAGAAGCTCTACTTCATCAAATCCACTAATAAAATTGAAAAAAATAAATAAATAAAAGCCAAACATAAGCAAAGTGTTTGATGAGAGGCACTTGGAGCTTGAAGTTGGATTCAATCAACACACATCTGCTGGGCACCTTCTAAGTGCCAGACACTGTGAGAGGTGGTGGGGACATATGGATGGTGTAGACAAGGTTCCCATCCTCAGGAAAGTCACACCCCAGCGACATACATTGTGCTCATTTCTACCCTGCTGAGGGAATCACTGCCTAGAACAGCATTCCCAAAGGAGGAGATAGAAATTGTAGGGCGAAGGGAAGGGAGGAGGGAAATGTATCTCAGGTAGAGGCACAAAGGTAAAAATAAGTGCTGGAGAAAGCTGAGGAGTTTGTTTTCGTACAACTGTGGGTAAGGAAAGAATGGGAAAAACTGAGTCCTGAGAAGATTGTGCTGTACTAATGGGTTTAAACTTTTTAAAATAAAAATTAGATAGTCATTCATAGTTAGTGGCTCCTCAATTGCCTTCCAGATTAAGTCAAACACTTTATCCTGGAGTATAAAAGGTCTTCTATGATCTGGCTTGACTTAAGGGACCAGGTTCATCTTTCATGCCTCTCACATTACCCTCCTCCCATCCTCTATCCCCACCCTAGCATAAGACACTTCATAGTTAGATAAAATCTCCTTTTCCTCTATTGATTCTGATGGGGGGGGCTTTGCAATGCATCAACTTGTAGTTCCTGTAGGTTTTCATTTCTCTGGAGGCTCACCTTGCTCGTGCAGGGCAGCAGCTATTCCACCTTACCATGGATCCTCCTTCACTTCTCTGACTTCTGGGCCAGGTGTGTGTATTGTTCTGTTGACAAAGGACACCAGCTTCTCTTGCAGGATTCCCACATCATCTGATGATCTGATATCCACATCATCAATGGTGGAAGCAATAAGAGATCGATGTGGGTTTCACCTTGAGTATATGGGCTCTACTTCATGCTTGCTGTCCCCACTTTATGAGCATCTTCCTGCCTGCCCTGGAGACCTTAAGCTACAGTGTCAGATGTGAAGACAACAGCCTTACAGAGACTCCTTAACCAGCTCCCAAACTTGAGTAAAGTCAAAGCCCTAGTTCCGCATCTGTACTTGGATTCTGACTGATACATCTAGGATGCATATTTTCTGGCCCCCTTTAGTCAAGTTGGGTAGGTGTTGCTCCTATGTTTTGCCTTAACATCTTCTGCTTATAACTCTCATTGCATTTATCAGACTGTAGTAAAATTAGCTATTTGCTTCTTCTACTCTACAAGACTGAATGGGAAGCAAAGGCCATGCCTTATATTTGGTTATGTATTCTGGGATGCACGGTACCTGGCACATAATGTATGCTCAGTGAATATTTACTGAATGAATGAAATGCTAACAGGACAAATTAACCTACGATTCAGTAAAAAGCTGCAGATATTTATGAGTGTTACCAATAATAGAAATGATGAAAGAATGAATGATTTTAATTTACTACCCCTTAAACCTTGTTCTTTTATATTACCCAGATTTCTAGACCTCACCTTTCAAAGTCAGGACACATTTATTTCCTTTTTCACCTGCTAAATTAGCAGGATACCTAGTGAGGTAGGTTGAATAATAGCCCCCCCTAAGGTGTTCAGGCAATAATCCATAGAACCTATAATTATGTTACCTTGCCTGGCAAAAGGTACTTTACCAAAGTGATTAAGTTAAGAATATTTAAATGGGGGAGATTATCCTGGATTACCCAGTTGGGCCCAATGTAATCACAAGGCTCCTTATAAGAGAGAGGCAGGAAGTCAGAGAGGAGAGATATTTTTAAAGATGCTCCACTGCTGGCCTTGAAGATGGAGTCAAGTAACACAAGCAACGCAACTCTTGAAGCTATAAAAGCAAAGAAATGGAATGGATTCCCCCCTAGAGCCTCCAGAGGGAGGACGTCCCTGCTGACAACTTGATTTTGGCCCAATGAAACCCATTTTGGAAGTCTGACCTTCAGGACTCTAAAAAAATAACTTGTGTTGTTTTAAGTCTCAATGTTTGTAGTAATTTGTTAGAGTAGCAATAAGCAACTAATAAACCTAGATCTCTGCAAAACAAAGCAAACTAAACTAAAACATTTTAAAAAAAGAATGACAGAAAGAAAAGAAAAAGAAAGACCTTAGACACAGCAAAGGGTATAGTGGATCTTATACAAATTTTGAGGTCTCTGTAAAGAGTCTGATATTTATGATAATTACCTTACACATGTCCTTTAAAGTTCTTTAGGCCACCCCATGAACAGGGACTTCTCTCACTCTCATCCTACACAGTAAACTCCTTCGTCATCTCCTGGTTTCTCTCTGTCTCTCCCATCTCTTTTCTTTGTCCCATATTTCCCTGATTCCCCCAGGATCTCTGAATTCTTCTCACTTTATTTTATAGAACACAGGTCTCCACAGATTCCACCTCCAGCCTGGATACCCAGATCTTGCATGTGCTCTGAAGATGTAAGGATATCCCTTTAATGGATTCCACTTTCTTTAGGAGACAATTGTGGTTATGAACAGCACATTTCCTCTTGATGCATAACCATGTTACTTTGATTTTTAAAAATTATAATTGCCTTTCAGGATTCCCTACTCTTATGGGTAAAATGAAAATAGTTAAGATGGCCTTCAAGGTCATGTAGGATCTGGTCCTGCATCATTTGTCAACTTCATGTAACAAACACTCTCTCCTTCCAGAGGCAATAGCCTTCCCAACTCCTCCATGTCACTGCGTGCCTCAGGGCCTTCATTCACATCCTTCCCATGCCTGTAATACTCTCCCTTCCTCCTCATCCAGTCAGTCCCTATTCATCTTTCAAAACTCAATTCAAAAGTTATTTCTGCAAGGAAGCTTCTCCGACCCTCTATATTGCTTTATAGCATTTACTACAATAACTAGTATAATTAATTATAGAACAAATTAATGGGAAAGGTGATTCAGTTTGCAATTCGTTTCCTACGCTGTGACTCCATTGCTAAAATGTAAGCTCCATGAGATTATTAATTGTGTCTGCTTGGTTCACCCTTGTGAACTTATTTAGCATTTTCTTGGAATCTTATGTATTTTGAATTATCCATTTACCATCTTGAATATTTCATCCCTTTAACAAATCAGCAACTATCTTTCAAAAAGTATGCAAAATAAAAATTCTCAAGCTTTTCAAAATTGTCATTTATCTTGATAAAACTTTCACTTTGGGCAGAAAACAAACTTCAGTGTTTTCCAGAGCAAATAATAGCCCTTTAAAAATCTATTTTCAGCAGTTCTAACTGATCACAATCACTTATCTTTAATCTGCAATTAAAACATTTTTATTTAATCACTTTCTAGACTAGCGTCTCTATGTCATCTGACATGCTATCAAAATGTGTCTGCTTTGAGTATTATTTGAAAATGGCTATTTTTGTTTTATTTCCTTTGATTGAATGGCCCCAAACATTCCCATGAATGGTGGTTGATACTGGTTCTCGGCTGGGACCTCAGCTGGTCTACAGGCCAGAATAACTACACATGGCCTCTCCTTGTGGCCTGGGCTTCCTCATGGCAAGAAGGCTGGGTTCCCTAACCCTGCACTTCTTGTTCAGTGGAAAAAAATTACATTCCTTTTTTAAGGTACTGGTTTTTATGTCTCTTAATTGTGGCCTAATGTAATTCCCGGCTGATTCAGTGCTGGTTTTCTGTACTCATAGACAAACCCAATCCTTTATTATTACAATACCACGTTTCATTGACTTGACCCTAAGACTTGCTATTATTTTATGTTGCTGTTGTTGTTGTTAGGTGCTGTCAAGTCTGTTCCAACTCATAGCTACCCCATGTACAACAGAACAAAATATTGCCTAGTCCTGCGCCATCCTCACAATAATTGTTATGCTTGAGTCCATTGTTGTAGCCACTATGTCAACCCATCTCCTTCAGGGTCTTCCTCTTTTCTGCTGCCCCTCTACTTTACCAGGCATGATGTCCTTCTTCAGGGACTAGTCCCTCCTGATAACATGTCCAAACTACGTGAGATGAAAAAACATTTTTTTAATTATAATTGTAAGAATTATAAGATGGAGTTGATTGTAAGACATGCCTTACTTCCAGAGATGTTAAAATATGACTTAATTAAGTGTATTATATAAAGTTAGAGTGTGACTCATTTGTTTGAAAATAAAAATACATATATATTGGCATATAAATAGAACATTTTGGAAAGATACACAGAAAGCTATTGTCTTAGGCTGGGTTCTCTAGAGAAGCAAAACCAGTGAAGCATATATGTGTGTGTGTGTGTGTGTGTGTGTGTGTGTGTAGTATGTATATATAGTCAGGCTTGAGGCGTCTCCTGACTCCTCACATAGCTTCAGGGTGAACTCAAGATTGGCAGGTCAGCTGCTAACTCAAGTCCCAAGAACCAGACTTCAAATGATGATGAGCTGGATGCAGGATCCAGATTGAACAAAAACAGTAAGCTTTACCAGAACATCCATATATATATCAAATGCAGGCCAAACTCCCAAGAAAACTCCTCTTACAGCTGATTGGCTGCTCATAGCAGATCTCATCATGGAGGTAATTACATTATATCAGATTGTGTCATGGAGATTACATTATGGAAGAATAATCAGTCCAATGTCTTCCAAATTACATCATTACATGACTGCCAAACCACTGAGAATCAAGGCTCAGCCAAGTTGACACATTACCTTAACTATCACAGTCCACTCTTTGTCAACCTGTCACCTGTACACGTCTCCTTAAACCATACACAATCTCTAA